CCATCCCGCACGTTTCAGTTGCCACAATTTTATGTAATTTTAGAAAAAAAAAAAAGTCAAATGAAATCGTTGACCTTCTTCCTTCCTTCCAATCGATGAGTTTATTGCTTTTGCCGAACTTTTCTTCTCATTATTACAGATAATTTTGCAAGTGAACATAAGAAACTAAGAAGCTCTTATCCTTCACATTTGATCCGGATCCGAAATTAGTAGGCGGCACCAAAGCTTCTTTAACCAAAAATAGGTGAGTTAGAGGGAGAAGAAGAAGAGAGAGAAAGTATTAGAATATTTGTATGAATTTTCATTGCATAAATAAATAAGAGAAATTGTATGTATTAGAGATGTTTTACGTGGAAAATTTTGAAAGAGAAAAATCAAGAGGTCATGCTTGATCGAAATGATTCTACTATGTATGTGTGAATTATAAAAATTGGTCCGTCGCTTAATTTGAAGATGATAAATTTACAAGTGTGAAGGATTGGTGAAAGTTCGTATTAATGTTTGGGGCTGAAATGACCGTGATTTTGATGGAAATTGTTTCATGCAAGAGGTTTGACTATGCCATTCGACAGGTGAAAGATCTGATGGTGGCGGTTAGATGGTGAAGGTCTGATGATGACGATCGACCGATGAAAGTTTGATGGTGATGATGGAGGTGGAGGATCGTTGGTGTGGATGGGCAGAGGTCTAGTGGCGGCAAGTAAGGTTTGGTGTAGTGGCTGCTGGTTGATCAGTATAGGTGTGGTGGTGATGACTGAGCGGCGAGGGTTCGTTGACAGCGTTGTTTGGTGAAATTTTAGGATTCATCTAGCCTTATAGCTCTCTTGATCTCTAATCAAATGTCTTCACATGTAGGGAATGGTGGACATAGTTATAGATTTTTAGAAGTGACATGTCCCATAAATATGAATAAAATCTATAACACTCCATCAAATGATCTTATTGATTCACTCGATCAGGGGAGATTTCTTCAACATTTAAGCAACTTATTGATGTCAGAATTAAGTGATCTTGAGCTTGTTAAATTTTTCTCATCGAGCCGCTCGATTCAACTATAAACATGCCAAATTTCGAGATCATTTGATCATCCAATTAGTATTCTAAAGCTGCCAAAATACATTCTAGGCCCTTGATTTGAGCTCAGATTAGACCACTTTTCACGTCGTTAGATTTATCTTGTCAAGAAATTCAATTTGATTATAAATTTGCTAAAATTAATTGAAGTTCAAGATCCTAAATTTAATTTTTAAAATTTTTAAATTAAATATATTTCTAGATTCATTTTCGACCAAGATATTTTTTTAAACGGACCAAGCTTATTTATTAAATAGATCATGTAAGTTGGCTGTTAACTTTATTAATGCTTGCCTAATTATGCTGAGTCGTGGCACATAGCATTGAATTTTAGACGAATTCATTGAAAAAGGATTATGCACTACTTAGATACACAAATGTAGCTGATTTAAATTCTTATGCTTTTTTAAATGTTTGTGAAAGCTTATCCTTGTTGATTGAAAGCTTAAGGATGCTGCTGCTTCTTAGGCTTCGTTTGGGACTGTTTTTTTATTGCTTTCGAAAACAGAGTTTTAGTACAAAAATAAAAAAATTTGTACTAAAACTCCGTTTTATAAAGCAATAAAAAATCCGTCCCAAACGAACCCTTAGTTGACAATTATAAGCTTCTTCTCAGTTAAATGTGAAGAATTTAATATTGAATGGTGACTCGAAGCTAATTTGGAATGCTATTTGAGGTACATTTTATTTAGTGTTGATACGGCATCACAAAATTAGCTTGATCGGGCACGAATCTCGAGGCAAAAGCTAGTTGGAAACTACAATCTTTTAAAAAAAGGGCAATTACAAAAAACTCTAAAAAAAAACTTTTTTTTATGATAGGCGTCTCTCAAGGGAGAAATTATTATGTGCGGAGGCCAGACGCAGAACGTCGTTTGAAGAGACCAACCAGAATGCGCAACTTCAGTTGCACTGAGCCACAATACCGAGTAGTACTAAGCCGTGATACTGAGCGAAGGGGTGACGTAGCGCAATCCGGTTGATCTCCAGACTGCGCTCGTCGTCCGCATAGAATAATTAATCCTCTTAAGGGGCTGCTAAATGATACCTTGGTTGAGACAACTCCCTTAGGATGGAGAAATTATCCTGTGGTGAGTTTGGATGTTGCTTGGTGTTCGTACTCAAATAAAATCGTGACACCTGGATGGTACAGGTAGATATTCATTTCTAATTTGCTTTTAGTTTTTTCTTGCTGGCCCGACCGATTCCGCCCAGAAATTGCTTGTTCAAAAATTAGATTTTAGATTGAAGCACTTTTTTTAAAATAAAATACTACAAAAGTTTCATATTTTTTAGGATATTGGCTCAATAAACTTTTATAGCTGCTGAGAAAAAAGAAACGATGAAAAGTTGATTAAAATGAAGACTAGTTCGAAGAAGGAAAAGCTGATGAAGATGAGAATGGTTTGGAGGAGGAAAAGTCGATGGAGATGAAGATTTTTTTGGAGGATGACAAACAGAAGATGAAAAGAGGAATGATAGTTTTTTTTATGTATATTTGAGGAATATGTTGGGGCTTGAGGGGGTAGAGCCCCCTGACCCGGAAACCGCCGGAGGGACATTGCCCACCTCCCCCTATTGAACATTCAAGTCAATTCAAAAGAAGAATAAATTATTGTACATACAATTAGATAATGTACTATTGCAATTAATTAGGTCAGTTCTCATTGCTTTTCTCTTTCTTTGAAATTTTATGTAAACATTAAAATATCTTACAACTTCTATTAAATCATTGTATAAAATTAAAATACTCTATCATCATAAATTCTTTAGCACTTAATAACAATGAATTAATTACAAAGACTATAGTCGTGATAAATAATATTAATTAATGACTTTAGAACTACCACTAAATACTAAAAGAGGCTGAACTAATCAGTCATAATTATTACAGAGAAGCCACTTGTGGCTAAAAAACGACATAAGTGGTTAGAGTTGAAACACCTTGTCTTAATTGGCCCAAATATCTTAGAGGCCAATAATCTGTTTCAGGTGATGGAGATATAAACCTACCTCGCAAATCATTAAAGCTGTTAACCATATTATCATAGTGGCTTTAGATCTTGATAATGTGGTTAGGATAATAAGAGATAATACTCTTTCTTATAAAAAAAATTAGGAGTGCCACTGATAAATAATGATATTCCGGAAGATATATTCTTCATCAGATTCGAGCACATCCCCATCAGTATATTAAAATCATTTAAAAAATATTTGGAAGAAAAACTAGGTCTTTATTGATATTAGACCTGTCAATTTCGAGTTACGGGTCGGGTTCGGGTCGAACCCGAAACTGACACGGCACTTCGGGTTCAGGTCGACCCAACCTATTTTTACAAACAGGTCGATTTTCTAGACCGGAACCGACCTGCGTACGCTGGACGCCGGAAGCTGAAGCGTCACGGAAATGCTTGACGCGGACGCGGCGCGGAACCGTTGGATCCAGATGCCGGAAGCTGTGCGGAACAGCTGGACGCTAACGCCCGACGCCGGAAGCGGCGCGGGACTGCCGCGAACGGCAGACGCGGCGCAGAACTGCCGCCAAAATGGCGTGGATGCGACTCGACATGGCCTCGGGACGCGATGCAAGGCAGCCTCGGGACGCACCAGGACGTGACGCGGCTAGGCAGGCGGGCAGGCTGGAACCGGGCAGGAGGCCCCCGGGCAGGCAGGAAAATTCTGAAATCCCAACCATTCAATATACTTTGAATGGTTGAGATTATTATTATTATTATTATTATTATTATTATTATTATTAGATCACATCGATTTAAAAAAATAACTAGAATGAAATTTAGACATTTATAGTAAATTAATAAGATGAATTAATGGGATTGAAGAACTTTATCTTTTAATTATCATGGTAATGGAGGGGGTCCTAATCCAACTCTCCCACTTAATTACCAACCTTTCAATCATCCACTAGGGCATGCTGGCATAACACTAACCATGACTTCAAGAACTTACCTAAAAAGTTTAATGTAGATCAGACAACGCGTGTCTAGCAATCAAACACGTTCAAGCTCATAAAATTTATCCCTTCGGCATTTGATCAAATACATGATAGGCATCAATCAGATGCTCGAAATCCTAAATATAAAGAGGGATTATTCTATTTGGAGTACGGACGTACATTTACATTCGGATTGTGACTGTGTACAAATATATATGATTTACGCAGTATATATACTGTATGTACTCATAATCAGTACGTAGAGATACGTCCAGACTCTGCATGTAATATTTCATCTCAATTTTTTCTTTAAAAAATGGGCCTCGTTCAACAGAAAAAAGTTATCAAAACATCTTAATTTTCTTAAGGGAGTTTATTGCAAAATTTTATTATCAGAGAAGAGGAGAGCATGGTCTGAATTGGTTTTAAACAAAAGCAACCATTACAAAACCTCAAAGTTAACTGAAGTTCAGAACATTATAAGAATGAAAACTTTGCAAAAGACTGCTTTGTAATGATAATCTTCTTAATGATTCTATGCATAAATCACTTTGAAAATATGTTCTCCTAATTTTTTCAAGAATTTACTTCATGAATATTTAAATCTTAAAAATTAGATTTAACTTGCATAAAAATTTGAGAACAAATTTAAAAAAAAAAAAAATTCAAAAGTAAAACTTCGACAAATTTGTCTTATAAACCCTAAAACCTCTTTACGAACTCATGTCTTCGGATTTAGACTTCGTTTGAGACGGCTTTTGACTACTATTTTTTTATTTCTTTCAAGATATTGATGTTCTAAAAATTGTTAAAGCGGTAGGAAAACGGTTTCAAACAAAACTTTGATGTAATGACATAGCAAGCAACAGTTTTTTTTTTGGGGGGGCAGAAAAATTCTTTAATAATTTACTTTATACTAAGAGAGATTTAAAGAGATTGAATATATTTCTTCTTTCAGTAACCCTAAACAGGAGGGATTTTCACATCATTTTAATCATCTTCTCAACCAAACAACCAAAACATGCAATTCATTGAATAATTCTCATGTCCTCATTTACATGTCTATTTCAACCTTGATATCAACTTAATTCTTCCATATAATTATTATTCTTCACAGAAGATTCTTCTAAGCTGCAACAATAGGATAAGATGCACAAGTAGCAATACCTGCATCAAGATTCATCAATGAATGTCTCAGTACTTATAAAAAAAATGAAAAGAAAGCTCACTATGTACCACTTACCACACATGTTCTTGCCTAATTCCATCTTGAAGAAGCCATCATCACCCCAGTCTTTTCCCCAGGAATTCTTGATAATCCAGTAAGGTACTCCACCCTCTACTCCATAGCCAACAGCGAGAACCGCATGGTTCACATCCTTATACAAAATGGAGTTTTTGAGTTAACTACAAAGTATTTAATTAACCATACAGTATAATCAAGTACAGTAGTCCTGCTTATTGCTTATAACTATTCGTTTTTTTTTTTGGGTGACAAGGAACCATCCGCTATCACGCTTGGCTTCGCCGAGCGCGTTTGGTAGTCCATAAACCTCAGCCTAGCTACCGGGCCACCCACGTCATTGTACCCGCAGCCGACGCTTTGGGCTTCACTTAAGTGCGGTGTCCGAACCGTCTGGAGGCGAATCCGGACGCGCCACGTCATTCGGATGCTCCGGGGTCGGGGTGACGTGGCACATCTAGATTCGCCTCCAGAGAATCCGGATGCCGCACGTACGTAATAATTTGTCACACTGAAGGGGCGACAACCGGTTGAGGGAATCGAACTCGGGATGGGAGGTTCCCAACTGAGCTAAGCATCGGTGGGTACTATGCGTTTTTGAATAGAAACTTACCATTGGAGAACTCCCACATTTATCACTCTTGTAAACTCCTTTCTTGTATAGGCCGAACCCACGTACAACCTCGAATGCAATGCTAACTGGACGAACTAGTCCCACTGCCTGCTTCAGCTCATCCTCAGCTCCCTGTACAAAAAATTAGATAAATTTACTTTATATATTTATGAAAAAAAAAAAGAGAAGAAGAAATTAAGATTTATACTACTTACAGTAGTGATATTAACTGAATCAATAACCTTGACGCTAATATTTTTCTGCTTAAAGCCACATACGCCATTGACACCTTTATACGGGTAAGCTTCTTCTGCTTCGAGACCTCCACTGTATTTCACGTACTCGAAAGCTTGTGAAGGTAAGCCTCCATCACAGCCATGGTTATTGAACGCAGATGCACAATCTACAAGTTGCTGCTCTGATAGAGATATCTCCTTTCCAGTTAACTGTTTGTATGCAGCTTCTAAGGCTCCAGTAGTGCTACACAAACAAATATTTATTTATATTTTTAATATTTAAATGATTGCAAACTCTTCTCCATCACCTGAACGACCAGCAAGACCCGCAACTTCCTTGGTCCTTCACCGAGCTTACTATGCCAGATTTCCTCCAGTCCTTCTGCAACGTTCAAATAGTGATTAAATAAAGCTTATTCAAACTGTGCGTGTTAATCAATCAAACTGCACCGTATCGGGGAGCTTCGCCTCGGTCAATTTATGATTGCCTTTGAGAGTCGCCGAGCAGTTCTGTGCGGCTCCCAGCCGGCTCGCTTTGAACTCCTCCCAAGTCCAGTCGGCGAACTCTGATCCAACGGCCGTCACCACGATTAGTCAATCCAACGGCTATAATTTAAATAAAGAAGTATAGAAGGGCAACTAAAATTTCTTACTGTTGACTCCTAGTGTGTAGGATAAACCCTTTCGGTTGGTGGATTTAATTAGCTCCAAATTCTCCATGAAGATCCCGAATCTCTTCCTGGTCTCCTCCACAGATCCGTAGCTCTTCCCATACCTACAAAGCGATCACAACCGTTAAATGATATGGAAAAACACAAAAATAATCACTGAAACATGAGAACACAATATATATTGACAACTTGAAATTTGGCTAAAATTCTATGTAAGAGCAGATATTGAGGACAAATTCTTTCACTGATTGAACAACCACAATTTTCTTATAAGAACAATATTCATTGGTCGCAAAACGTACACTCAATAGCCAATCTAATATATCTATTAACCCATAAACGGATTAAACAAAACACTAACAGAGAAAGATAACTGAGGCAATCAACTTTGGAATTTACTTTTGAGCGAATTGAGCAAAGCGTAAGGAGTGGCGAGAGTGGCCGAGGGCTTCGAGAAGAACTGGATTAATCGAATCCAGCCGGGCCATGGCTGGTAGTGATTGGTCTGCCACTGTTAAACTGGCAAAGGAGGCGGTGGTGAAGCCGGAGAGGAGGAAGATGGTGACGAGAAGGCTGTGGAGAGCCATTTGGAGCACACTGTGTTGTGTGGAGTGTGAGCGATCAGCTCGCTAAGATTCTATATAAGGAGTCAGGAAGTGGCCCGCCCACTATTTTTTTTTTTTTTACATTTAGGCCAATTAAATCAAACACATACAATGCATATACAAAGACTCGAGTTCAAGACCTATTAATTGGAAGCCTAATCTCTCAATCAATAGGCCAAGTTGAACTGTGTGGCCCACCCACTCGCTGATAGAAAAACGGAGAAATTATTTGGTGCGGAGATCGGATAGAGATTCCTCTTATTTGTCTTTGTGAACAGCTACATTTTTACTGTTCACAATGCAAAAATCCGAACGCTTCTCTAATTCCAATTTCCGTACGTAATAATCTCTACCTCTCTAGAAAACGTTCCGTTACAGTTCTTCCATAAAATTATTGATTTAAAATTATCAGTTTGAGGTCTAACATATTTTATCAAAATGACGCAGAGGTTGGGTGGCATAATGAAGTTGTTAAGTAAATTGATATTTTGTCACTAGTTCTGCGTTTTTGTCCTGTAAGGCTAGGTTAGGATACTCCGGGGACTCCAATGTTGAGATGGTGGTTGAAGAGTTTTTTTATTTTGGAATATTTAGATCAATTAAGGCAGGTTCATACACATCGCATACACAAGACTCAAATAGAACGTCTTAATTGATAGCCTAAGCTCCAAACCTGCAGACCGTGAATTGCGTGATTGGAGAGTTCAAGGATGGCTGCCCCTGTGAGAAAAATATTATTATGTGCATAATTCGGACGTCAGTCCAGATTTTAATTATCATATGAAAATATTTGTATTTTTTCTCTTTTATATATACGGAATATGTATAAAAAAAATTCACGTGTCTTCATATGCTTAGGAGTCCCTAAAAAATAACTTGCGTGCTCCGCATTTAATAATTTTTCCCTTGTGAGAATCTGCTTCATCACTTTTCATGATAATTTCATGATAAAGATGAGGATGTGTATTTGAAATTAGGTTAATTTTACAGTTTTTAATTAGAGCATTTTTTGTTTTTAATGATTTAGCTGATGGTCTCATGCTTATTAATGTGTTAATGGCTGCGTACGATGTTGTCTGATGTTGATATTAGATGATTAAGATATGCAAGCCAAATTTAATTTGTTGAGTAGTGTTCTTTTTCTAAAGGATGAGCGGCTGTATAACAAATATTTGTTAAGATTTAAAAGGTAATCCAAAATTTTAATAAATTTATAGTTGAAATAGGCGTTGTACTCATCAACATTAAGAAGTGATTCGATTCAAATCCGAGTGTACTTAAATCAAGTATAGTTGAAATATTCAAAATAATAATTAGGGCGTTATTCAAATATTGTGTGAATGTAATCAAATCGGGCATCTCGACGAAATGAATACAATGAGCCTAGATTATTAAAATTTGAGATTATAAAGGCATCAAAATAGTTGAAAAGCATCTTTTGAATAAGAAAATCCATATAGATTGTCCGATGTAGTATTTTGAAGTTTGATTATATTTACGGAGAATGTCAAAACCAAACATTTATAAATAAATCCTCACTCTTATATGAATGAGTACTATAATAGGACTTGAGTTCAAAGAGGGCCAAATGATCTTAATAATCGTAGAGTTCTATCAACGTCAGACAGCAGCCACCCGACCATTATTGTTGAGTCGTCGTTGTCTGACTGTGGTTGTTAGACTCGATCATTGTCAACAGTCCATTGCCATTGTCCGACCATCTATCTCTATTTGATTGTCACTAGCTAACTGATGTCACTAGATAGCCTCTACATGGCTAATAATGTTGGACTATAATTGTCTGGCCATCTTCATGGGACTAATGTTGCACAACCATTATCATCAAAATGTTGTCGCAGAACCATCAACATCAAATCACCGCTTGATCGTTTTCATCAAACTGTTGTCCCTCTACCATAGCCATCAGATCATTGTCTCCTAACCACCACCATTGGATCACCACTTGACCACTAATGCCTGATTGCCATGACTGGAGTGCCACCACTAGAATGTTACCCTAGGACCATCGCTTCCCAATAATCATTATTAGACCATTGTTGCACTACCATTGGCATCAGAAAGCCACACATCCAATCCTAGCCAACTTTGTCACCCACTATTGCCATTAACATCGATATGCCTCATCACCTATAAGGCCATCACACCATTGATAGAAAAAGTAATGTCCACTGACTTTGTCACCTAATGTTACTATCAATGTTGACTCACAACATTTGTCTATATGCCTGATACATACCGTTGAAACCAACACCTATGGTCGTCAACTTCGTTACCAACTATCACCAACAATATTGATACATGTCCTAGTCTATATGGTCTATGCATGTTATCAACATCAACATTAATGCAAGTCGTAGCCACCAATATCAACACATGTCATCCCCTATAAGGCTGGTGCATATTATCAACAATAACATCAACACTCGTCGACTTCATTGCGCACCATCACCTCTAATGTTGATACATATAATCATCTATAAAGCCGATGCACATTATTACAACTAGCACTGACACCTATCAATTTCATTGACAACCATCACCACCAAAGTTGACACATGCCATCACCTACAAAATTGATGCACTCAACACCAACACCAAAGCCCCATGACTTCATTGCTCTCCTTCACCATCTAATTAAGTTGATGCACGTCGATGCCTATAAAGCTATTGAACATCATCAATACTAACCTAGATTCCCACCAACTTCATTGATTTGCATCTCTTCCAACGTCAATACATGTTATTGCGTCTGAGAATCATAAGTGCCACCAACAACAACTCTAATTCCTAATATTTAGATTAAACTTCTTCGTTTCTAACATACTATTCTTTTACAAGAACAACCAAATAGGATACAAACCATCCCTTGAGGATAATCAAATGCTCAAAACTTCTCCCACTTTTATAGTGTAATTCATTCTCTAAAATGCATGTCTTGTATATTGTAGTAGTGTGCTCCCCAATTATAATGAAGGATATCATTTGTAACATACAACATGCATTAGAATTGAAATCAATTCAATTAGGCCGAAACCCAAACTTTTCTCTTTTTCTATTTTTTAGGTAAAATATTGATATCTCTTACAACTCTTTCTTTTTATATGTTGGATCTTCATATAAAATCAAAATGTTAAATTTTTTTTCTCAACTATCATGAACTTTCTAGCATGCAAAAAAATTGAATGATTGGAGATATATTTGAATACTCGCCATCCTGGTGAAAGCTTAGCCCCTGATCATAAGGCCATAACATAAAGCATGCTTGAGAATAATATCGCTGCTATAAATGAAAAGAATAATTGAATTAAGATGTCCACATTAAGATTTTATTATATAAACTATGTGGACATGCAGGTGTTATAGTCTTCAAAAACTGGGAACTCATTGAATGATGAGAACTATAATAGTACTATATAGGCAATATCAATCTCCATTATAAATTTAAGGGATTAAACGTACAAATGAGGTACATCTGACAAACTAATACAATAGAAATGTTGCATTGTGAATTATAACTTCAAACTCGATTGAGGGTTAAGGATGCTCATGACTTGGATTTACTCCCCAAGACTAAATATATAACTCAAACGCTTCTAGACGGTGTTTAGGTAATTTTTGGAGAAGATATACACAAAACCTAGAATCCTATAGAAATATTAACAAAGATGATGAAAGTTGATAAACTGAAGTTATGCTTAGCTTTAGTTGGTCCTCATGAAAGCTGAGGGCAAGGGTGAGCCACATTAAAAGTATTATAATTAATGCTACATATCGAAAGAAGGTGTGATATATTTTAATCAGTTATGAGTGACAGATTGTTAGAATGTGTGGAATCTGGTTATTTGATCAATGTACATTATTAATGTACAACACCTGACGCTATACACTCGAGTGTTGTGAAGTTGTAGTCTCAAGTTAAAGCCAACGATTAGAACAACACAGTGTTTAGGCACAACAAATAAAGATGGACTTAGGTATAGAGAGTGGAGCACTACGTGCTCCAAATCCCAATGTCACGGTAATGTGAGTTGGGTTGAACATTTTTTCATTCTTGTTCTTTTTATTTCACTTGAAGGATTGCATCCTTTGGTGAATTTAAGTGCATCTCTTTGTCCATTGTAAGTAAAGAACGACGTGATGAGAAGTCAAGAGAGATAAAAAAGATGCATGAGAAGAGAGATTTCTACAACTTTCTCATCGTAATAGTAGATTTCTTAGTATGGTGTGGCTCACACGTTTGATCCCGATGTTCTTTTTCATTGATTTCTTTTTCTTGTTTTTTTTTTCTTTTTTTTTTGTTGCTTGGTTTTAATCCCAATAGTTTGTTTACAAGTAATTAAATTTTAGGGGAATTTTAAAATTGTGTAATGTAAAGCTTGTATAGTTGGAATTCATGGGATCATTTTTCGTGTTTCGTTAGAGCTCATTAAAGATAGTCTAAACTAAAATAATAATAATAAAACAAATCTATGGCATAAGAGAGATGCATATTGTCATTGTCATCATGGTTGTGATTAGGTGCTTGGGAGAGGTTGCAACTTTGTAGGTCATCTTCATCATAAACATGCATGTTTGCTAATGAGAGATCATATGCCCTCAATAAGAAAAAGTTCTAAAGTTGATAGAAATATCTATCATCAATTGACCTAAAAAAAAAAAAAAAAAAAAAAAAAAAAAGTTGATTTGTGTTGCTTATATTTATCCGTATTTTGACATATTAGTGTTTAGTTTATTTTCAACGCAACAATTTTAAGTTTATGAATGTTGATCTCATCTACAAGAATACAGGTCATTACCGACCATCAAAAGCGGTCGATAAAAATAAAAAAATAAGTTGCTAAAAATATTAATTCCGGTCCGACGATCCGACCCGGACCGGAACCCAATATTGCTATGCATTAGCTGATTTGTACAAACCAGGGTATTGCTAGGTTTTGCTCGGTATTGCTCGGTAATGAGAAATATC